GAAGGTTTTCTTGCCCGTGTTCGTAATTCATACGAACAAGGTAGTCGGACGTTGGACGGACTACAAAGTGCTACCAGGTGTAGTGGACCTAGGACTCACTAGTTAGCTCACGTGTAGGAGGAAGCGTAGGTATTCCTAGGTTGTATAGTGTACACACGATGCGTGTGTACGTTAAGACAAGATAGGAACAAGATAGCGTAAAATGAGAACTGTTATTGTTTGCTTAAAGTGTTTCCTTCCTAAACTGATTATCAAATATCTAAGGGACCGTCAGCGAGGGGCTGACAGTGATTCACATCGCTGATTGGTAGAGAAATAGTACATTCTACCAATAGGATCTTTCTATATGCAGTCTTGATGTGTCCACATCAAGACAGGAAACCTTACTCTAACCGGTTAACGTTGCGGTTAGAGTTTCGTGTAACCCCGTTACAACTCTAACATTTCTATACCAACTTGCACGTCGATCGGACTACTGACAGCAAAGTTATAACTGGGTTCCGGGTCGGCGTCAGCTTGACCGTCTCCGGTTGCGTGATCGATCCGACCAACGGTTTCAATTTCTCGTACAATATTCTCGCAGAGTGTTGAATCACCGACGTCTCGAGATCGAAGAGCTCACTCGCGTTGAACGCCCCTGGTGTGATGCCTATGTCTTTCAATATTCGTAAGAGTTGAGTCCCTGCCTCCAGCTGTCGGGGCGTCCCCGCTGGTTCCATCGTGGAACCTTGGAGTTCTCCGATCAACGTCGGGTTTAGGATCTTCATCACTGGGTCGATCAACTCCTTCTTGTAGAAGGCCTGGACCAGATCTTCGTTGGTCCATTGTTGGTCCCCGCGCTCCTCCGTGTCGGAGTCAGGCGCTTTCAACTGCTTCCGAGCTGACTTCGGCTTCTTCTTCTTTGCGGCATCGCGAGCGGCTGACGGGGTGTTTGCGGATGAAGTTCTTTCGGCTTGCGCCGTCCGAGCTTCAACCGGCGGATCGTGACCTGTGCCACCATCCGCAGGGGCTCCCGAGAGAGCCTGGGGAGGAGGGCGAGGCTACTCTTCCAGGTCCATGTCCGGACCTTCCTCCTTGGCATTGTCAGAGCTCCTCCCAGCACTCTGACTTTACGTGTATCCTGCTTCACTCAGCAGCGTCTACGGCGATACACCTTCCCCCGGGTTCCAACTTGATCTTTGTGGCATCTTCGTCGGACTCACGCTGAAATCCCTGTGAGTCACCAGAAGGTCCGAGCACGCGCACCATTGTGGCGGAGTGGGTTAGCAGAAATTGCTGACTACCTTTGTCCAGCTCGCTAAAGTGCCTCGGACGACCGACTAACGGAGGGGGTACTCCGAATGTCCTCTGACGCTGAGGTTCTTCTCACCTTGTGTACCCGTCGGTGGGGCGGGGTTGCACTCTTCCGGTGACTTGAGGATGCCTTGGAGGTTGGTCGTGGGAACCGTATGGACGGTACTTGGGATCGTTGACTGCCGCGCGGATACTTCTTCACGCGGCTGTCGGGTATGTGGGTAGATCAGATAACCAATCTACGTGTCCTTGTCTGTGTTTGTTTTCTTTTCCGTTGCTTGTCGTTTCCGTTGCTTGTCGTTTCCGTTAGCGGGATCTTTGAGGGGGGGATTGGTCGAGCCTAGTCAAGCTGCGTAGATGTCGACGAGGTGTTCTGCTGCAACGCGAGGTGGTTCCTTGTCGTCAGGTGGGCCAATATACGTTCCCAGCCTGGTATAGGATGCCACGTGGCTAAAGCAGAGGGGTCCAATGTGAGAGGTCCAAAGAATATTCAGAAGTCTACCTGTCTTGCCCTAGCCTATCTCCACTATCACTCGTCCTGAATTGTACCTACATGTGCCTTAAACATGGCCATAGCAGCCTTGCCCATCCTGCCTGCGACCTTCCACTCTTCACCTGTTGATCGATGTCCGTTGATCAACGCGTCTCTTGTTGATCGATGATCGATGGTCGTTGATCGAAGTCCTTCTTGTTGATCGACGATCGAGGTGTAGCGTAAGGTTCGGCTTGAGCAGCCAACTTCAACTTGGGTGTTTGTCACACAAAGTGCGACACGCCTTGCACCCATCTTCGCCTTTCAATCGATCATCCGGCCCCTAGTCACACTTGATCGGATTTTCCGTGGTCGATCCACGTCACGTACATACGATGCTTGTGTACGTTAAGACAAGATAGGAGTCAGATAGCGTAAAATGAGAACTGTTATTGTTTGCTTAAAGTGTTTCCTTCCTAAACTGATTATCAAATATCTAAGGGACACTCAGCGAGTGGCTGACAGTGATTCACATCGCTGATTGATAGAGGTGTGGCGCACTCTACCAATAGGATCCCTTCAAGTGCAGTCTTGGTGTGTTCACACACCAAGACAGGAAACCTCTAACTCTAACCGGTTAACGTTGCGGTTAGAGTTTCGTGTAACCCTGTTACACCCCCCGTTAAGATTTGACGTGCTGGTCTCAACACGTCAATCCAAGCCTTGACGAGTCCGCTAAGACTCCGGGAGAACTCCGCGCTAATTTCGCAATGAGCGCGCTTCTGCGAACACCAGCGTCTTCGCTAGTGTCCGCGTCGACCTCAGTGTCGACGCCTGCAGCTGAGCGCGCGTCCGCACCGACGCGGAGGTGCATGCTTCTGCGCCCGTGTCGGCAGCAACGCCGACACCCCCAAGAGGCACGACAGAGACCTTCTCTGTCGACAACTACTTCGAATTCCAGAAGAAGAAGCTCGAGCTCTAGGAGAAGAAGCGCGCTGAGGATGCCAAGACAGACTGCCCGTCGACTGTCTTCGAAGGTTCGTCGGTCCACGCGACCGACAGCGGCATCCCGTCGGAACGTGCCACGGACAAAATTATGTGTCTGTCGACGACGTCGGGCGCTCTTGATATGGTCAACCCCGGGGTGACCAATGGCTTCTGTCTTTCTGAGAAGCAAAAAAAATCGCGTCTTGGACAAAGTCCAGTACTTGAGAGCTGAGCCCCGGGTTCAGCTCGTTGACCTTGTTTGCGTCTGTGCCCTGCACAGTCTCGCACCTTGTGTTCGCATCAGCCCCAGACTGTGCGTGGCTCTTCGTAGCGTCAGTGCCCGGCACTGACGTATTACTTGTGCTCACAGTAGGACCCGCCTGTGTGTGAGTCTTCTCTGTATCAGTGCCCGACACTGATACTACATACGTGATCGCAACAGACCCTGTCTGTGCGTGAGACTTCTCAGTATGTATCAATACCCTGTATTGATACATCACTTGTGGTTGCAACAGGCTCTGCATGTGCATGGTTCTTCGCGGTATCTGTGCCCGGCACAAACCCGTTGCCATTGGTCGTAGCAGGTTCCGCCTGCTCGTAGTTCTTCACAGCGTCAGTGCTCGGCACTGACAGGTCCCATTGGGCCGCAGCGTGGCGCTGTCTCGTGCGAGCTCTCGCTCTCACTCTCGCACGTAACTTCACTGTGTCGGTGCCCAGCACTGATACATCTTCTTCTGAGGCATCAGACTGCCTTGTGTGGGCTCTCGCTCTCGCACATGTCCTTACAACCGATATATCCGTATCAGTTGTCTTCTGCGGTTGATCGACGTCAACCGTAGCGCCCCTCCCCCACTTAAAAGGAAGACACCCGTCTTCTTTACATCGTGAAGGAGACGTGCACACGCTACGAGTGTGCACTTGCGCGTAAGTGAGAGGCCAACTTTCGACGTGGCGTGTCGGAAGGAGCTGAGAGAAACTCGATCAGCTTCGTGCGTCTGCATCTGTATCAAGCACAAACGCAGCTTCCCCGTGGAATTTTTTTCGGTCGTCGCGACAACACGTGTGCGACGACATTCAACCTTCTGTTTTTTTGTGGACCCGGAAGTCGTACACCAGGGGGAGACAACCACCTCACCCGAAGGACGAGATGTGCGGCGACTTCATTGTTGCCCACAACGCTGCCTGGTCGGTATAGACCACGAACGACGTGGCGTCGAGTCATCGCACTCGGCACTTCTGGAGTGTATGCTTCATGGCTAAGGTTCCATTGTTATCAACGCGCATCCGATCGCGAAATCGGATGTGTACGGAAAAAGGGACGATCTTGGAAACCACCGCCAAGATCGGCGCAGCAGCCAAGCCCAGCTTGGCCGCATCTAACGCCTGTGACCACGCAGCGGTCCATTTCCGTGCGTGTTTCTTCTTCCCGTCCACAGATTGGCTTTGGACGAATATAATGTAGAAGCAATTCGGTGCGAAGTCGCACAAAACACAAGCAATGCGTCGCGCACCTTGCTTGATCCCGCGACCGTAGCCAGGGATACTTCTTCCGCGGGAGTCTTGTCCGAGAGCACATCCATGTGCTCTCGCAGAATCTTACAACTCCACTCGTCGAAGCGTTCCTGCTTCGTCTTACCACTGAGAGTATCATCATTCACAGTAGGAATTCCAGTGAAGAGTTGTCTCAACTCCTCTGCTTTGTTTGTCATTCTTTCGCAGTCCGAAAGAATGCATAGCTGTTCGATGTGTCCGTCGTACAGGTCCTTTGCGAAGCGCTTCCATCTCATGGCTGGAAGCGAGATCAACTCCAACGTCTATGTCGGAGAATTCTTCAACTCCATCTTCCTGTACGGATACCCAGTACAAGTTTGCGTCAAGACGTTCAACGTCTCGACGGCCACTGTTGGCACTTGTGTCTGCCCGGCAGACACACCATGAAGAGTCTCGGTCCCTGACCGAGACTTGCGCAGCGTTGTGTGCTTGCGCCATCGCTTCTCCGAGTGAATCCCTGATTCACTTGCGTTTCGCCCAGGCCCGGGCATGGACGAACGTTCCTTGATATCACCGGCAGACGTTCTCGTCTGCGGGCGACTGCCCGCGGGTACAAGAACCCGCCGGCACGCGTCATCAAGCCCGGCTTGATCGCGCCCGGCTTCGCGCAGCCCAGCTGCTCGACATCTCTCAAGCTTTAGTGCTGGACGTTTGCAACCGTCCGGTGGGTTGATCACGGAAGTGGTTCCGCCAGGGATCGGCCTGATCGCCCTCGAACAGGGCAGTGATCAGGTCGGTCTGCTCGGGGAGGTTCGCGGTCGGCTGCGTGAGATTGGCCGCTCTGACGATGGATCCGGGATACCGGCGTACGCGGTCCTGTAGCGCCGGCAGGTGGAGGAAGTAGGGATCCAATAGGAGATCGATGTCTGCCCACTCGTTCCGCATCATCGGGAGACACGCTCCCAGCAGTCTGCGCCAGCGATCTCCAACTCGGATGCGTCGCTGACGCCGATCGTTGTGGTAGTTCTGGAGATCCGGGTCCGAGGCTCACATCGCCTTCGTTATCTCGAGATAATGGGTCGATTCCCAATACGGCATCAAGTGATTTGTCTCCAGCCTTACATACGACACAGCGATTCACCATAGAGTGGTGTTGGCCCGTCGGTGCAAGCTGTGATCGAACATCAACGGAGTGGGGCGGTTTCGGAGCACGAGCCACGGCTGCTTAACCAGCTGGGCGAACACGTTAGCACCGGTGATCAGCTCGGAGCGATACCCTGTCCGGGTATTGGAGCTCGAACAAGGGGCATCCGAGTAGGATACAGAAAGCCGGACGGGATCGGCAATCTCAAGGTCAGGGTGGCCTGGATCATGTCTATGATCGGTACGGGCGGGACCCACCATGGTCCGATCCCACAGGTAGATCTCGGCTGCCGTGAACACGCGAACCACAGAATAGTTGGGAACGCTCGCTTCGAGAGGAAATAACGGCAGATTCAGCTGGAGAGGTGAAAATCCACCGGAGGAGCTGCTATAGGGTGAACCACCAGGATAACCACCACCTGGAGTTCCACCGGGAGATCCCCCTCCGGTATATCCGTGAGGTGAGGGAGGAGGAGTCGCGGATCCGTTCCCCAAGGAAGGAGCATTTCCGGTGGGGGACGTGGAAGGAGTCGATCCGTTCCGTCGGTGAGGAGAGCCGTCATCGTCATGATCGTCGCCACCTCCGCCTGAGTTCTCGACCTTGTCTTCTGGTTCTTCACGATCGGCATCGTCCCCACCCTCGGGCCCTTCGATCTCGGGGATATCTTGGTCGTGCGGCGGAGAAGTGGGTAGATCACCGCGGGGAGTCTTGAGAGGCGGTGACTGGGGAGGAGAACTGGGCGGACTCCGTTCACGTTTCGGCATCCGAGCCGCTTGGCTCTCCTGGACCCAGGTAGCAAGATATGTGGGGAGCTGGTCTGTCTCAGTCAAATCCCCTTCGGCTAGGTCACGAAACTCGCTGAGTTGATCGTAGGCCTGCTCGAGATCTCCCATTCGACTTTCCCACCCCTGAAGCTCCAAGAAAACCACTTAAAGTCGTCCTCTGAACGGAACAGTGGTTAGATAGGATCTTGCTAGACCGGATGGCGAGATCTACTTACCCAGCTGGGCGACGCAAGCTGCTTCGGTGAGGAGGTCCAAGCGAACTTGGTTGCGTTCGGCGATCGCCTGATCACGTCTATGAAGGGCGGTGACGCGATCCGCAAGAGCCCGATCCCGATCTTCGCCAACCTGGGCGAGTTGTGTGAAGGCTCGATCTCAATCTGAGGTGACCTGCGTCAGAGTCACGCGAGCGCACGCAAGATCTGCAAACGCGTGATCCCGGGCCGCCTGGACCAGTCGGTTAAAAGCTCCGAGAGGCCCCACCTCCGCGATCAGGTTGTGATTGGGTGGGGATGGTAGAGATCCGGCTGTAGCTGGTGAGGGCTGTAGCAGATTCAGACCTCACGTCGTCGACTTCGCGTTCCAAACCGCGAACCGGCTCCTGCAAGTCCCGAATCTCGTCTCCGGCCTGGGCAGGCTCCTGGCACAAGCCATCGCGATCTTCCTCGGCATGGCGTAGATCCTCACGATCAGAAATCGCGTGACGCTCGAAGTCGTTGCTTCCCGTGCGGAGTTGAAGAACTTGGTGCGGAGGCGGTCATGATCGTCTTCAGTGTCGCGGGCGAGGTTCGAGATCTCGGCCTTCAGGCGGGTGATCTCATCTCGTTGGCCGTGATGGAACTCTTCGATGTCCCGTATGTCAGCTCACAGCTGTCGAACTTGTAGATCAAGATGATCCCGATCCCAGACGAGGCGATCCCGCACGAGGTTGTCCTGGCGAAGCTCGGCCTCCAAGGTCGCTAACCGTCGGTTCTGATCGGAGGTGTGGGAGCGTGAACGGCGCGAGATATTGGATTGACGCGACCGGTGACTCCCTGTTGGCATGGGAGAGTCGGGTGGAGTCGGTATCGGAGCGCTCCCGGAGTCGCTGCCTTGCTGACACATAGGGGACGGCTGCTGAAGACTTGGAAAGTGTGCGCGCGAGTCGGCAAATTGCGGAATGAGACCTGAAGTGAACCGGGACGGTCCAACTTGCAGGCTGAGGGCGGATGCGGTGAAGTGCGAATAAGATCTCACGAGATAGGCACTCTCGGCTGCCAGATCGCGAGATAGAGACGGGCCAGGCGACAGGAATCCCACTCAGGCCTGGACATCGGGTCACCTGCCCAAGAACCAGGGTGCAACAATGCCGGTGAGCGATATTGACTTCTGATGACCCAAGATTGGCCCTGGAGTGATGGATGGCGACATACCCACGACGTGGCCCGGTCCGAGATATCCAGGATCAGGGGAAAGTGATGGACACGGACCGCTGATGATGGGTGACCCGGGGCCGTGGCACGTCAACGGACACAGATTGATGGAGAAGGGCGACCACGGAATTAACTTGGCCAACGATCACGGGGCGCTAGTAAATAACGATCTCCGGTCAAGGCAAGGTTGCGATCCAGAATCGTGGAAGAGAAGCGGGCCAGGATCGTCGTGCGGCAGCAGTCGTGGGGTCACGGGTGAACGGCGACTATGAGGATCACCGCGCGACGACGATTGGAGACGCTGTCCGAGGTCACGATCGGGGAGATGGCTTAAGACCACGATCGCGATCGGCAGATCTCAGGATCAGGTAGGTATCCAGATGTCAGGTGATCGTAAGATAGCAGCTGCGGATGGGTTAGTGGATGTAGGGATAAACGTAAACAGACTCGAATTTGCTCTAAGCTGCACAAGGTCTGCTCACGCCTGGAATCGGGGATTAAATTGTTTCACAAGCGCGCAGACGGTAAGGACTTAGGATATAGCGTAGCGGTTAAGCCTGGATAATATATTGGCCAGCGTTTCCCTACCTAGTGACTTGTCCTCAAGTGTTTACTACTGATCGGAAAACATTAGTTGCTTGGTCTGAAGATCTCATCGGATCTCGACCCAAAACGTTTCCCGCTACAGGAAGCGGCAAGCATACCCAAGGATGGAGTATGATCTCCGGAATTGGACCCCCGAAGGACCTAGATCGACACCCAGGCTGCTCGATCGCGGCTCAAGGACACGATCACGATCTAGATCAACCAGAGTGAAGAGTTTTCACGCTATCTCAAGCCCCTGCGTCTCCCCTTTCGCCGATAGACATCGCACGAGTCACCCAGGAGAGCGTAACCCGCCCGCCGTCGGGTACACAAGGTGAGAACTAGAACACAACCAGATCACGGATCATCTGAGGACCCCCTTCGTTAGTCGGTGTCCGGGCGCCAGCGGTATCGTGACCTGCGTCAACGCGATTTTCACAGATCCCGCTTCGTCACAATAGAGCAATAATAATTATAACAATTTACCGCCGAACAATAATAAATATTGCCGCAATTATATTTTATTGAACAGAAATTTAAACCCTTAATCCAGGTAGAACAACGAATTTGATTTCATTCAACCCATGTGGCACAAGGTAGTAGATATAAAATCATGTCGGTTTGTATTATGGTTCATGAATATAAACTTTAAAGGACAAATTATCTTCGTGATGGTCTTTGATCGACGGAATCCTTCGATAAAAGCGAACAAATCAGGGATTGTCAATATGGCAGCAGCTAAGCAGTTTTTGCTGGGACCTTGTAGCGCATCTTTATATTACCACTCACAATCGTGATAATTGACACCTCCTTTTACTTCCAGCAGCAGCAGACAAATGTTTCCGCTATAATGCCGCGCCCGAGCTTGCGGCGGACCGCCTTAAGACATCTCGATGCTGTCGTTTGAGAAAGAAAATGCGCTGCTGCGTTGAGATATCTATACGACGATGACGACCCGACTGAAGATGAACTTGACCTCTCATACGCGGAGGCGTACCAGCGTGGCCTTTGGATCGTGATGTTTTGACCTGCCGGAACACTACATACGTCGCGAAGACGGCTGGAAGTGTATTATGAACGATCATTAACACGTGGACTAAACAGGGGGAGTTTCTAGGCCTTGGAAAGGAATTATTGGATCCTATTTACACAGACCGCCAAAAGCGAACCTAGTATTAGAGGCAGAAACTGTTGCGTGACCAGAAGAACACGAACGGGTCCGCATTTCTTGTCGTAACCACAATAACTTTGGATGTCCTAGAGTTATACTGCAAGCGCAATAGCTGGAACCATTTCTCCTGCTAGCAATGCCTTCTTAGTTTCACCATTCTGCCCTTCTCCCCCAATATTGGTTATAGTTATTACTGTGGGTTAACCACAGTTAACGAGCTAGTATGACGGCTTGTTCTATCGGTGTAACGGGGTTACACAAAACTCTAACCGTAACGTTAACCGGTTAGAGTTCAAGGTTCCCTGTCTTGGTGTGCGGACACACCAAGACTACATATGAAAAGATCTTATTGGTAGAGTGCGCCAACACCTCTACCAATCAGCGATGCGGATCATGGTCAGCCACTCGCTGACAGTCCCTTAGATATTAGATGATCAGTTTAGGAAGGGAACACTTTAGGAAAGAAACGCATAACAAAAATATCAGTTTTCAAATTACGCTACCTAGTTCTTATCTAGTCTTATTGTATATGTGGCGGAGTGGGTTGGCAGAAATTGCTGACTGCCGCTGTCCAG